GTATTTATCCATTAAAAAGATTTTAACCCATTTATAGTATTTTTTAAATATTTATTTGATTATACAATAAAATGGTTTTTTAAAGCATATTAATAGCTATTTTTTTTATTATAGCTCACTGATTTAGAAGGGTAAATTATAGAAAATGACCTAGTAAAAGCAATAAAGGTATTAAACCGGTTGTATGTGAAAAGCGAGTTAATTTATAATTATCTATACAACTTAATTTATTGTTTTTTAAATCATATGATAAAAATGAAAAAAATCGTGAATTAAAAATCTTACTAAATAAAAAATAGAAACCTAATGTATAAAAAACAAGATTTAGATCTGTTAATTAAGCATTACAGAAATGTATTAATTAACATCTGAATTTCCATATATATTGATTTTTAGTATTGTGCAGTCAAATCTTCATTTATGTACAAAAAAACTTAAATAAAGTTTTCTAACTTTATGATTAAGTTCAATAAAAGTTTAAAGGTATTTTTTCTAAGAAGCCAGGTAGTTATTTTAGAACTTGTGGCTATAATTTTACCTAAAAGTTGATGGTTTATGGATATTAAGAAAAATAAATTTTTATTAATACTGTTTATTATCTGTCTACATTTTTAAAAATATCTTCTAGTTTATTATAAATATTCGTTAGTTCTTCAATTTTAAATGTACCTAATTTAAAAGATATTTCATTTAATCTTTGTTTTATTTTAGCTTTTAGTTCACTTTTTTTCTTTCACTAAAAGAATGCTCATGTAAAATCGTGTCATTAGAAAGATTAAACTTCGGACTAAACAACAATGAACTGCTAGAAATCATATCAGAATTACTAGGGGAAAAATCATTAATAATAGACATATTAGAAGGTTCTTTGTGAATAGATCGCGGAGTTGGATTTTTAAAATCTTTAATGCGTGATGCATATCTCAGTGTATTAAGCGTATGCTCTATGTTATCATAAGTGGGACTTATTGTGGCTATTATACACGTTTTAGATTCTCCTATAAAAGAATTTTTTAAAATTTGTGTAAGTTTACTTTGTCTAAATGGCAAATGTTTTTTGTCTTGTTCTATACCTCTTATACATTCCTTAAGAGCTAATAAACTTTTATTTATTTCAGCACCTTCATTTTTAGTTTCATTAGAACTAGATTTTCTATCTGTTCCACGTTCACTTCCTGCTAAATCTACAAAAATGAGCGAATTTAAACCATTCAAAGCATTCGATTTTCGTCTGTCAAAAGTAACGATTAAAACTGCATGAGATCGCGAAGATTTTGAATTTGCACCAGTTATGCCTGTACGTCTAAAGTTTAATCCTCTATTAATAATTTTACAGATGTCGTCAAAAGATTTAAATTCCAAAGATGTACTATTTGTTAGATGAACTGTACCACCGACTTCTCTTAAAATAATTTTTTCTCTTTTATTAATTAAATCGTAAATATTTCCCATATAAATTTCACAAAATGTTATCACGCCGATCGGTTTATGATGCGAAATTTCAGATAAGGCCTGATATATTATTCCTGATTTTTCTTCCATCATAGTGTAAGTTTTACCTGTCCCTGTCTGACCATAAGCTATTATTGATCCACATCCACCTTCTATTACATGTTTAACAATGGGATTTAGTGCTCGTGCATAGACTTGATCGTTGGTATTAAACTTCTCAAAAACCTTGTCAAATGTAAAAAAATGTTTCTCAGTGTAAGACTGTAAATCGACTTTTAATTTCGGTTCGTTAACAATAATATTATTATCATCTACATCAACAGCATCATCCTCTTCATCGTCTATAGGTCTTTTACGAACACACACAATAATCTTATCATCACTAAAAATATTAGTTATATTATTTTCCTTAATAAGTTTAAGTAATTTTATTCTATCTGCTAGGTCGTCTACGCCTAGATCTTTTAGATCTGAGGAAGTATAATTAATTAAACTTACGAATGAATGTATTCCTAATTTATTTAAGGTAGGTAAAATGTGGTGAAGGTTATTGTTTTCTAATATTTGTTCAAACTGAGACATAAAAAGGGATAAAAATTTAAAAGTTTGTTAAGTAAGAAATATTTTACCACAAATTTATAATTGCAACGCTTCTTACTTTTAATATCATTTGTTTATTATTTTGCTTAAGTAAATTTATTATTTCTTATTTTTTTAACCGTAAAATGGTACAGAAATATTTAAAGCCGCATAAAAAATTTATATCACGAACTTTAATAAAAAATATACTTAATTTACAAAATAAAGAATTCGATGAATTGGTTACACTGTTGGGTGTAGTCCCTTATGTCCCAAAGGAGAAACAGAAAGTTGATCGTATTCAAGATTATTTTTACAGAATGACTGATTTTGAAAAAATAAAAAACTCGGAAATTTTAAAAATATTTAAATCGAATAAAAGAAAATTGGCAAAAAAAGAAAAATATGAAAAACGAGGTTTATTGATTCGTGCAAATAAAATACACGAAGAAGAATACAATTATATAGATCTTATAAAAGATCGATATAGTTCATTTGGCAAAGCAGTCGATGAATTAAGTTCATCTTTGTCGGGATTATGTTTATCAACTAAACTTTCTATGGATTCAGAAATAAATAACATTTTAAATGATTTCAAAGAATTTGTAGTTTGTAATAGATTATTAACTAAAAGTTTTATGTCTAGTAAGGGAATTTACTATGAAATTACTATTCAAAATTTAAAGGTTGTATGGTTAAATCCTTATAATGGGCTAAATCTTGAAGAAATTATTGAAATAAAAAAAGATGAGCCTGTACCATTTAAATGGAGTGAACCCAACTTTCTTGATTTTGCATCTGAAGAAGAAGAAGAATCTGAAGGAGAAGAAGAATTTGTTAAATCTGACAAATTAGATGTATCTTTTCTTTCCTATGCCATTCCTTTACAAAAATATCATTTAAAGTTAGTTTTACATAAATTAAAGAACATGGATATTAAAAGAAATAATAATATTTTTGAAGGATTGAAATTTTCTATATTTTGCTCTAATCTTGAAGAAGATTTATCTTTTGTAATTCGATCGTGTTCTGGTTTAGTTGTTAATGATTCATCTTATGATATTTGTTTGGGTGAAAATTTTGAAGACATTTTAGAAAACAAAATATATTGTCATCCACAATTTATTTTTGATTCTTTAAACGAAGGTACTAAACTTGATATTAACTTGTATCTTGTAGGTAAAAGGATTCCAAGTCATGTATCACCATTTAAAGTTAATAATTACATTAATCCAGATTTATTACTTTCTTTATCTAAAAATAAAAGAAATAAACTGCAAGATATAATTGATGGATTTGAGGATGTACACTACAAAGAAAAAAAATAAATTATTTATCTACAAATTATAAATAAATTATTTACATGCCCTGCATGATTGAAGAAGAAGAAAAAATTGTATTTTATTTGGAAGAATTAGATACTAATTTTTCTAAAATTAATAGGACCTTGAAGGAAATCGAAGAGAGAATAGAAAAGATCTATTTGTTAAATTCTAAGGTTGTATCCGATTATAACCCTATCATCAAAATTTTTAAAGATCATAATAGTTGTATCGCTGAAGATGTTGATAGTTCGCTTATTATGAATGGCAATTTACCGAAAGATCCTTTTATTGATTCGAAAATTGGCACTTTTGAAAAAGATTCGTCATCGACTCTTAATGATCCAAAAATATATAGTGATTCTTATATTGACGAGTCTTCATCTACTGAAATAAATGAATTTGATATTGAAAAAATACCTGAAATTTTTAAAAAAGAGGAAGATTTTTTTAAGGTCTATAATTTCATATTGAGTTGTAAAAGAGTTAAGTTTGAGGACATTGTGGATACTTTTAACAGTGCAGATTACAATAAAATTTGTGTTTATTTAGAAGTACTAAGAAATAAGAAATTTATTAAGAAAAAGGGGTCCGTATTTTATATAGATTGACTTAATAAGATTTTTATTCCATTTTACTTTTTAAATCGATTTTTAATCTTTAAAATGTGCATCAAAATTTAATTAATATAATTGTACATATATTTATATTGTTATAAAGTCAGAGTTAATATTAGAAGTTTAATGTTAATATATATTGTCAAAGGATAATGTAAGTTAAGTATATTTACTTTAAAATATTAAACACTTAATTTTTAAGTTTTTTAAATGCTACTTATTTAAAAATAATTTAATGACTATATAAAGGCTAATATATATAAATACTTGATACGTTGCTATTTTTTAATTGGAAATATATTTTTGTAGTCATAAATTCACAAAGCTAAAAAAATTAGATTTTTTATATCTCAAATACCATGCTGCTTGTTAAAAATAGTTTAATTAAATAATTGATGTACAACAAATTAAAAAAACTTTTTTGTTTTTATGCTATATTTTTTATATAAGTTAAATTTCAAAGAAGTAAATTGTGTAAAATTAATAATGTGTTGCGAAAAAAGCAAAAAAGAAATTTATATATAATTTTGTATTTGTTTATTTAGTCAAGCTTTAGCACAATTATATTTATATTGGCTATTACATTGTAAAATAATAAATTTTATAATTCTTTTGCTTTTAAAACTTTTTATAAAAAATCTATTTCATCTTAGTGTCAAGTATTTTTAATGTACTGAATAAGCTTTGGAGAATTTAAGCACAGAAAATGCAGATAATTTTTTTATATGTGGCTTATAGATATACAGATGTTATATAAATTGCAAAAAAATTATTCTTTAAAAATAAATTTTTTATTTTTGTTGTTCAAACAATGTGTAAGTTTCATTTTAACAAGCTATGTTAGCCATTTAAAGGTAAAATTAGAAAATGTACCAATAAAATACTTCGTAATTACTATGTTTTGGTACTAAAAAACCACAAATTTGTTGAATTAAATATAAAAAACTCAATTATTAATTTTTTTAAGAATTTAAGCTAAAATATTTAACTTATATTATTTATTAATTAATAATTTTGCCAACTTTAATTGGCAAAACATTTATTTGTATTCAAACTTGTTATGCTTTGTAGTGGCATTTAAAAAAGCAGAAATTAATAGCTAAATTGTTACTTTATAATATAAAAGTATGCCGTAATGATTCTATAAATTATATTTTATACCACGAATACTATACAAAACTTACATAAAATGTATGTCACTATTTATAAAATTTTTCTATACATATTTATCTTCTTTTGTTTTTGTGATCCTTAAATGAAAAGTAAAGATTTAAATCCAAATAATATTTATGATTTTTTTCTACAAAAGATAATTTTAAATCTAGCAAATACCCATTTATCTAAACATGTCTCGTTTTTATCTAACTATAACATAAAAATTGGTGTTTATGATTTTTGTGGAAAACTAAAGACTTATAGCAAATATTTTATAGATTTTGCAGAGTGTTGGGTTGTTGAAAATGATTGGGAAAACGATATAACTATAAATATCTACAAATATGACTTAGTATACTTTTTTGATGATATTGAACTTGTAGACAGAAATTTGTTTTATAATAAAGTTGTATCTAGAAGTAACTATTTGTTCGTGCTTTTTACAAAAAATAGATTTAGTAGGATAGAAGTTTATATAGATGAAAAATAAAACGCTGTGGGTTTTTTGATTGAGTATAAAAAACAGGAAAATGAGTTAGAAGGTCATATTAAACAAATTGTATTTTGTTTATATTAAATTATTCTTTCTATTTGATTGTTATTGCAACTAATATTTATCTGTTATTATTACAAGAAAATAAATTTATATTTATACCTTTACATGCTACTTGTTACCAAAAGGTTGACCAGGACGGGATGGTGATTTCGAAAAAAGAGAAAAACTATTTTTATTAGGCATATATTATTTATCTGAAATTTCTTAAATAGTTTTTTTTTGATCTAAAACAAAAGATTGCAGGTCATTTTCAAACGTTTCGGTTCGAGAGTTTGAGTCTTATGATTGTCGGAGTAGAGACTACCGGTAATACTGCTGTTCAATGTTAATGATTACTTAGAACTCTTTTTAATGTGTCATAATATTTAATTTTTGCATGTACTCTAATTTTTTAATTATCTATAATTTATGCAATTATTATATTGGTATTGATAAATAGAGTATTATTTTAGTATTATATTTTTATAATATTAATTTAAGATTAGATTTTAATCCTTTACCACAACAATTTATTTGCACCTAAAGATTACAACCTAATAACTTTAAAAATTATAATCTGGTTTTATAAGACCCCTCATATGTTCTTTAAAAGTAGTAACTTTTCCATAATAGACCACACAATTATTCCATTTGACATTCTTAAAGAATGTGATAAAAAGATACAAGCATTATCTGCTACATCAGAAGGAGAATTGTTTTTTACACAAGAAAATAATATCTTTAAGTATAAAGCCACAAAAAAGAATAAAAGTCAAGATGAGATAGTGAAACTTAAATCTGTTAATAATCTAATTATTAGTGGAGATGTCTGTGGTTGTATTAAAATATTTAGTAAAACAATTTTAATAAGAAGTTATCACGAGCATACGCATAAAATTAATTGTATTGATTTATATAACGGTAAAATATTAATATCTGCCTCAGATGATGCAACAATTAAATTTTATGATATTATTGAAAATAAATCATTTAAAACTTTAGATTGGTTTGGTGATCGTGTAAAATGCTTTAAAATATTTGAGAATATTTTGTACATTGGTGTATGTAACGGATTTATCTACGGAATTGATTTAGAAACGTATAATAAAATATACGAGTTTGATACTAAAACACCAGTTCATAATATAGAGATACATAATGGAATCATCTACTACTCTACAGTTAATAAAGTCTTTAAAATAATCACTGAATCTCAGTACATTGGTAGTCATACAAAACAGATAACCGATATGAAAATTTTGAATAATAAAATTTGTACAATTTCTTTAGATGGATTTTATAAGATATGGTCATTAAAAGGGCAGTTGATAACAAAGATTAATTTTAGCAGTCCAATTCTATCATTTGGCAGTTACGATCAAATTTTTTATTTTGGTCTTGAAGTAGGAACCCTTTGTCAATTAGGTGGTACTAAGCCAACTAAGAAAACGGAACTGATTAAAAATAAATATATGAGAGATTTTGAAGAACAAATACAATATAAATTATTCGAGCAAAATTGCCTAAAAAATTCACAATTAGAAAAACTTATAAAAAAATACGAACACAAAGGTGCATTAAAGTTAGCACTAGATCAACAAAATTTTAAAGACACTTTCAGTGTCTTATATTTCCTTTATAACAATCGTAAATTAAAAAACGCATTGTTATTTATAGAAAAAGATTATTTGTTGAAATTACTAGATTTCATTATTGAGAATCTGCAAATTAGAGACTTGTTTGAAATACTGCAAGAAGTTATTTATATTGTTTTATCTGTATATTTAGAAGATTTCACAGATGATGATGATCTTTACGATAAATTAACGTTTTTAAGTGAAGTTGTTGATGAAGAGTGCTGTTTTCAAGAGAAACTTATAGAAGCGTATAGTTATATAGAGTGTTTTAAATAAAATTTTGGCATAATTTATGCATTTTTTTTTATTTAAATATTTTTGGTTAATCAAGTTTGTTTATTTTAAACAAAATCAAATTATAAAGAAATTTATACCTAGACTATCATGTTTTAATTTGGTAAGTTATGAAACACGAATATCTATAATTTAATAATAAAAATAATTTTTTAATATTTTCAACAAATTTATTTTACAAAATATACAAATCTTAATTTTTTTCTATAAAAATATTTTCCCATAAATTTGCATAATGTACGAAGATGTAAAGTTACACATTCTCAAATCTTTTAAATATGCGAACTATGACAACATGGCTTTTTTATCATCTTTCTTATATTCAAATGCAAGTAATCAATACAAATTATTACTTCCCATATCATTGTATTACACAGGAGAATATAACAGGTCTTTATTTTTACTTTCTTCTTTAAATACAGTAACTTCTGTTTATTATAAATATTTATGTTACAATAAGCTTAAAGATTATAAAAAGGCATTAATATGTTTAACAAAAATTATTACAGATGATGTTGATGAAGATGACCTTGACTTGGATATTTTTCTAGTTAATAAAGAAGATAAAGAATATTTTTACAACGACATGGCATTATTACTTACTCAATTATATGATAGAGATGAAGCTATAAGATATTTTAAAATGAGCTATAATATTTATCCGATATTTACAACTATTGAAAATTTAATTTATGAAAATATTTTAACAACATTTGATCATCAAGATATTTTAATTAGAAATAAAGAAAATATTAAAAAGACAAATTTAGTCAGTACATCAAGTCTTCATGAGCTTATCTCTGATTTAAATAAAAATGAACAAAATATTGAAAAATATAAAAACTTTATTCCTGGCATAGGATCATATGTTGTTGCATTTTATGCAAAAAGTCTTTTTGAGTTAGGACTCATTGATGAAAGTCGAAGGTTGTTTTATATTTTGCGTTCTAAAGATCCGAAATTTATGTATAATATGGATTATTTTAGTACAATTTTATGGTATTCACAGGATGTTACAGAATTAGGTATATTGTGTAAAAACATGATAATAGATTCACCTAGCAGTTCTGTGACATGGAAAGCTTTGGGTAATTATTATAATCACATTAATGATTATAAAAGAAGCTTTTTGTGTTTAAAAAGAAGTTCTTATATTTTAAATGAACCTTATACATTAAATTTATTAGGATTTGAAAGTGTATACAAAAATGAATACACCGAAGCTTTAGATTATTTTAAAAAAAGTAATTTGATGTTAAAAAACAACTATAAATCTATGTATGGATGTGCACTTGTTTATGATAAAATGGATAATAAATCTACAGCCGATTTTTATTTTAGAAAATGTATGTATAACAATCAACTTAAAGCCATGGGAATGAAGTTCTACATTAAACATGGAGAACTTGATATTGCACTTCAGATTTACAAAGATGCCATGAAGTTTGATTCATCAGATATCAATATACTTGTACAACAAACATTAATTAAAAGGGGGACTTTTACAAATGTCGAAGAATTTTTAATTTTAGAATTTGTGGAAATTCTAACAAAATTAAATTTGTTTGAATTTGCAAAAAATATACTGAATATTATCGAATACCGTGGTGAAACATATTATAAAAAAAAAGAAATGGTATATGAAAAAAGACATGAATTTATATAATAAATTTGTTTTAATATTTAATTTAAAATATTTTTTAATTTAGTAATTTGTTGTTTTTCACTAAAAATTTATTTTAATATTTATTTAAGTGTAAATAACCATTTCTCGTTCTTTTTCTTGGAATCCACATTTAATGTAAAAATTTGTATTTTTAGGATCACAAACAAGTGCTATTTTATAGCAATTATTATTTTTACCATATTCGATTAAATGTTCTACAATTTTTTTTCCTATTCCTAGTCCTCTTTTTTCCTCTAGAACAACAATATCTTCAATGTGACCCTTTATGGCACAACCTCTTATAAATTTATATTCTAAAAAGATTGTTCCACTGCCCAAAATTTTTCCTGTAATATCTTCTACAGCTACTACAACATAGTAATCTTTCTTCTCTTTTATTAAATTAAATCTATTAATAAATTTCTCTTTACTGATCTCTGAAGGCTTTGTTAATTCATTGATACAGTCTATAAATCCTCTATCATGATCTTCTATTTCTAACTGTCTAAGTGTAAACATGTCTGCAATAAGGATAAAGCTAAATAACATTTAAATCCTAAAAGGAGTAAAATAAAAAATTAAAATATAAATATCAATGACAAAAAAAATATCAGACCTTAAGTAATAAACTTTAATAGTAGTTTTAATTTCTACTTCTGTAACCAAATATTCTTTTTAGATGCATAAAACTTAATTTTGGTATAGTCACCATAAATAAAGTCACAACATAAATACATAACAGATATGGATTCCAATTAACAAACTTATTGATTATTATGAAAAGGATAGCAGGATACAAAGCAAGAAATCTTACTTGAATGGTATCTTCAGACTGTTCAACTATTTGCTCCCAAAAGGTGTAATTATAGAAATCTTGAGAAAAAGGGTCTCCTACTTTCCAATGAAAAAAGTAAAATGTAATTATGTTATACGCAATAATACATAATTGCCAACTTATATTATCAGAAAAAAATTGATAAATGGTAAGTTTAAGGATAGCTGTTAAAACAACGTGAATGAACCAGCTTTCTTTTTGAAATATCCAGGAAATATTTTCAGAAATGTCTACCCTCATAATTTCTCTTTGAGTCAATTAAAAATTTATAAAACAAAAATGTCATTTAAAACAAAAACATATTAGTAAACAAGTGAGAATGTTTTAAAGACAATTTTATATAAAGAAATTTTTGCAATTAAAAAATCTTATTGCTTAATATTTTAAATTATAAATTAAGGTAATAAATATAAGTATTGACTAGTTTTTTTAAAATAGTGTTTTCTTGATAAATTATGTAATAATTTTTTTTAACATCACATGCATGTAGTTTTAAAAAAAAAATGATGTATGGTAATCTCTAGATAGAAAATTTCTATGCAGGAAAGTAAATTTTTCAATTTGTTTGTGATCATGTAAATACATGCCATTGAACAACTAAGAAAAGCCTAGCTCAAATAATATATCTATAGTTTAAAAAAAAAATTATTTAGATTTGAGAAGCATGCAAGTATTTGAGACAGTAAAGATTTAATATAGTAGCATTTTTGCATCTCTTAGGTACAAAAGCCGATTAAGCTTTTTGAAAGAGTATTATAGGTTTGTGGTATATAGCCAATGAATTTATTTTGATAGAATCTCAACTCCTGCATTGTATTTTAAAACTTCTAAACATGCTGGAATAAAAATTTAACTTTTACAAAAAAATAAACAAAGCGCTTGAGCAGCTTGTACATTATTTGTACTTAAAAAGTTTTATAAAGCCTAAAAAAAATTTATAATTTTTTTATACTTTTAACCCTTTTATTTTTGGACAAATGCTTTTTTCGAAATCGCAACATGCATCTATAAGTGTGAAAATAATAAGAATTAAAAGCACAATAATATTATGTCAATATTTCAAAAATCAACATTTCAATATTTATGTACAAGAATATAAAAATTGATCTAAATTTTGTTTAACGATCGATGAAAGTATAATTTTGTGCTTTATTATTTCTTTTTCATTTTTTAATTTTAGTTTAGCAAAAATAGACAGTTGATCATTCGTCATCACATAGTATATTGACTCGTTGTTATCTCTAGCATATGTCTCTCTAACTTTTATTAATTTTAATAAATATTTATCATCATCTAGTAAATATTTTGATACAAAAAATTCTTTAAATGTTTTAAAATATAACTCTGTATCTTTTTCAAGGTACAAAAAATCTTCATCATTTTCTATATAAGAACAAGGATTATCAATTAATTCTGTTTTTATATTTTTATAAAAATTTATAATTTTTGTACTTAAAAAATTTTTTAAATAAATATGTAAATTTTCTATGCGCCAATCAATGTAAGTATTTACAGTAATATTAAAATCTTTAAAAAGAATACAATTATCATCACAATAATAGTCTGCAATACTATAACAGGTGATATTTTTAAAATCGACTTTTAATTTTGTAAAATTTTTTATATTTGTAAATACTTTCTTAAAATTACATGTAAATAATCCCTTATCAATGATTGCTTGTCGTAATTTAATGCAATCTATAATATAAACATTTCCTTTATTAGTGAGTATAACAACGAAACATACATAAGAATTATATGTTCTATAAGAATGATCATAGACATCTATTAAATAAGAATCTAAAGTCGATAACATCTCTGTAAAAGTTTCTAAGTTATTAACTATAAAAACGTCATTTGTAACTTCACAATAAAATTTGTTAATTTGATGATTGCATTCTATTTTTTTTTGAGCTATTTTTAATATCTTATAAGATTGACAATATTTTCCAATTATAGCCTTTATTTCATTTTCATAAATTAATGCTAAAATATTTTTTTTGTCAATTTTAATATTTAACGATTCAATACAATTTGTAATAGAAACTTCATCAAATGCAAAATATGGCTTAAGCTTACGAATATTGTCAAGTACTTCTTTATAATAACATTTATCAGGTTTTGAAGCATTAGATACATTTATTGTTTTATTTAATTGTGTAATAAATTGCTTTGCGAGATTAGCAAGATTTTTCATAGGGGTATTTTTAACTATTAATAAAAATATTTCATCGTTTAACAGTTAATAAACTACACACTAATATATTAGATCAAACTTTGTTTATTCAAAAATGATACATTATCTTTACTACTATTTATATTATCCCTTTACCGGTTTTAATGTTCTAACTTTTTTTAAATTGCACAAAATTGAAAAATCTTTGTAAACCAAGGCTAGTAAAAATATTAAAAAATTATCGAAAAACGTTCAAAAACAAATAATTATTTCAAAGTTTAAAATAATTTGTGTATCATTTCTTTTTCATAATTAATAAAGCGATGTAAGTATATGATTTTTAAAAATATTAAAAGTAACGCTCTGTAAAATTTTGCGTGCATAGACACATCTATTGACAAAAAAGCTTTAAAAACAGTTAATAATAGCACCAAACTTTTTCTTTATCCCACAGCAAAAATAATTTCTAAGATTTCAAATCATCTTGTTTATCATTATTTTAAAGATAATTTAATAAGACATATAGTGTAAAATAGCAATAAACATTATTCATAAGCTTTTTTATTAAAATTTTATCATCAAAAAGGCAGGCTTTGTAAAGAAAGTATAAATAACATTTTGAAACTGCAAAAAATATTAGTTGTAAAATGCATTCTCGGCGATATTAAATTTGATCTAAATAGTAATATAATGTTTGCCTAAGAGTATATTTACTTATTTGATTGCTTTTTAAAAAATATTTGTTTATTATCAATATCTTTAAAATATTTGATAATTACATTTTCGTCACGATCACACAATTTACACATTCATAAAAATAATATTTGTTTTAGTAATCATAAACTTAAAAGACAAGAGTAATCCTTTAAATAATAACTAAAAAGATTTTATCTAAAAAAGAGACACAAATTTAAGCCTATTCACACTAAATAAAAAATTAAGAGGGGATACCTCTAAACAATAAAATACATACAAATTTTGTAAAAAAATGAAAACAAAACGAAAATGAGCTTTAATCTTAAAGACCAATAATAAATTAAAACCCGTTATTTATCTTTGAAATCAATCATACTTTTTCTTATTGTAAAATTAATTAATCAAAAATTAACTTTTAGCCAAAAATTAAAATATATATCAGCCATCCAACAGAGAAAAACAACAAAGTTGCAAATAAAATCTTGTAACTAGGCCTGTCATTTTCTTCGTCTTCAAGAATAGTCCCTCCAAAACTTCTATAGTTTCTAGCCAAACCAGGATAAATAACCCTTCTATTTTTAGTAAACTTTTCCATTCTTTCAGTATCTTGAAGTTTACATTTAGTCACATCAAAAAGACTTAAATGATTTCTACAAACTGGACATTCATGTTTATTAGATAAATACCATTCTTCAATACAATTCCAACAAAAAACATGCCCGCAAGACGTGCTAACAGGATTAATGTATGAACCAAGGCAAATTAAACAAGCAGAATCCGTTTTATTAGCATCTACTTCTTCGTTATGAAATAGCAGATTTATAGTCTTTTTTCGTATTTTTTTCTTTTCATCCGATTCACCTAAAGTCATTTTAATTTTTTTATAGGGGTGAAATTGTTATTAAATAATATTTATTTTTTTAACGTTCTCTGTTTCTCTGGATTTTTAATAATCTTTTCATTAGTCATTAAACCCTTTTTCTTTCTTATTTCTTCAATACAGTCTGAAAAATCCAAACCATAAAAATACCCGAATTCTGCAGATAAAATATATGCAGTGCCTTTGGTGCACACTCTGACATCTTCTACAAAATTATCATAGACAAAATATGGTACTAAAACAATTAAAACATAAAAACCAGTGGCTTCATCATATTCTTCATTTTGCAATATTGAAGATATTTTTTGAATGCTAGTGTAAACTCCGCCTAAACATTCTTCTTGTATACTAATATTTAATTTATAGAAAAAAGGTGCTATACTTGGCTCCGCGTTATTGTAAGCCAATTTAACATTTTGTTTGATCTGAGAATACAACTTTTCTTCATATAAATCTAATTTTTTTTCGTAAAATTTTATTTTAAACGTTGTATCTCTAATGTATTCAGAAATTACAGGACCACTAATGACATAAACTTCAAGTATACTGTAAATTAAATTTCTAAATTTATCAGTTAGTACCATGAATCTATTATTAAACTCGTCTAAATACCCATTATATTCCGAATCATCATTTTTGTAGATTTGTACTATAATTTTGTATTCTTCACTTTCAAATTCATACGTAGATTCGTTTTTAGGAAATTCGCAAAACAAATTTTCATCTACCCCTTGCCGCACCTTAAAATTGCACTTTTTTAAATCCTCGATAAGTTTTTCTACCTGAACCTTACCGGAAGATAATACATCTATTTGATTATACTTATTAATTTTTATTTTTAAGCACTGTTCAGTATTTACTAAAGCTCTTAAAACAGTCTTAATTTCTTCTATATTGTCTCTTTGTTCTGGTATAAGTCTTGATCTGTAAAAAGGATAAATTTTCTCGTGATAAGAGTAGTTAAATGGTTTTATTGAAAAAATTGGCATATTTTTTCTAAAATTACCTTTTAAACAAACTAAAGTAGAACCAGATACAGAATCCACTTCTAAAAAATCATTAATGCCAAATTTATATATCGATTTTATTTCATATTTCTCTTCATTATTGTACAAAATATCTCCTGTTTTTATTTTCCCTTTAAACAGTCTTGTAACAAACATTAAATTTTTTTTATCAAAAGATAAATTGTTTCGTAAAAGTCCTAAAGATACGAAACAAAATGCGGATTTATCATGAACTTTATCTAAAAGCAATAATGGTACCGTTGAATTGTATAAATATTTTTTATATGTTTCAGGTTTATAAATATGCTCTATACACTCAAAAATCGAATTCGCTAACGGCATAACAGTGCTTAAGATATTCTTTCTCGTTCTCTTTAAAATATTAAATCGTGAACAAATTTTATCGGTACTATTTTTTTTAATTTGATTTTCAATATAAAAAATAAAATTCACAACATTGTCTAAGGTTGTATTGTCTCGCTTAAGCAAAAGATTAGCATTATTATAATTAATTCCATAACAATATGTAGCGCTTGATAGAATAATATTATTATTAGTCCATGTAAATATCAAGCTACCTACCATACTATTTGTATGCATAATAATTTTTTCAATCTTGTCAAGTGCTTCATCTGCCGTTTCAACTTTATCAACTTTATTAATAACTAGAATCGCACAATCTTTACGAATATAATTGATTAACGAATAAGTTCTTGGAGTAATACCTTCCATGATATCAATTATAATTAAAAAACAGTCAGATATAATTGAACTATTCTCAACTAAAAATTCAAAATCAACATGTCCAGGGGTATCTACAATAATATGCTCTGTATTTTTGTAACATAAGCCAATAGCGCTAAGTTTTAAAGTAATTCCACGATTTTGTTCATCCTCTCTAGTATCCATATATCTAATTTCTCCAGCAATTGATTTAGATATTTTGCCCTGATAGGCTACCAGACTGTCAATTAATGTTGTTTTTCCATGATCTATGTGTGCAACAACACTAGTTATTATTGATTTAATGTTTGACATGGGTACTTTGTGAAAAATTTCAAAAGTTAAAATATTTTATTAACAGTAACAATCTTAATATGAAACAAAAAAGTCTCTTACTGTTTACAAACAAAAGCAAAACCAATAAAATGAAATATTAAAACGTATTAATTCTAATACAAAACATAAAAATTAAATTAAAAGCAACAAATTATAAAAGATAATACAAACATTTTATTTGTTAAAATATCAGTATATGTTATATGTAATAGATTATTTTTATTGGTCTTTGTTTTATTAATCATTTTCTACCTTATGATTTTATATATTCGTTGTTATAACTAAGCAAGTTTTCATGTCTAAGTGTTATTTTTTTTACTAAAATAAATTATTGGTCATGTAAATAACTCATAGACTTTTATCTTTTAAACTATAAGGTGTTCAAAAATAGTTCACTACATACATACAAATTTTGTGAACAATTGAACTAAAATTTTATTTTTTTCTCAAAAATAATTATTAAAATAAAAAACTAGTTGCTAGCTTGTACATTAAATATTAAAAAATAATCAATTTGCAAAATTTATTATCAAAAAACAGTTAAACTTGAGATAGTTATAACTTATAAGTGCATTGTTTTATTATATAAGTATTGCAGATGAATAAAAGAGACTGAATGTTATGCTGCAAAGTATTAATTTATATGTTACTATCATTAAATTAATTTATCTTTATTGTCACACAAAACTTGTTATTAAAATTTTAAAATACTCGAAATTCAAATTATTAAGAAATTTGAAAAGTTTGTATATTAATATTAGAATGTCATTATAAAGTTTATGTTGTTTTTATTATCATCGACAATTTAGAAAAAAAGTTTTATAAATAAAAGATTTTAGCATAAATTTACATGTAAATCTTAAAGAATGGAGATAAAATCAAACAAAAAAATAAATTGCTTTTTTTATTCTCCCCTGAAATGCCATCTGAAAAAAATGATAATCCTTTTGATGACAGTAATAATACGATTTTATATACAAAAATGGAAGATAATAATCCATTAGCAGAAATTATGGGTAGAATGAATGGACTTTCATTGTCTGCATTTAGTCCTAAGAAAGACGAAAGCTTACATAATGATTCAAATGCGGATCTTTCCAATCTATCAGAAATGTCAATAAATGAAGAAGCTTCAAAAACAGAAAATAATAAAAATGGAGATTTGGTTTATCTACAATACTTCGCAGAAACAGTACAAAATTTAAAAAAATCTTTCAGGAAACTCGTCAGAAATAAATTTGTACACAAAGAACTTGTAACTCAAATATTCGAAAAATTACAAAATGATGATTTAGAAGGAGCTACAAGTTTATTAAGAAAAATTTTAGATAAAAAGACTTTAAAAGAGATTAACATTCATCAAATTAATCATTTCCTGCAAGTTATCTTTCCTATGGTATTGAAAGAAATAAATGAGAATTTAGAAAAGCTAAGTTTGTTAAAAAAAGATATATTTGATTTTAATAAAAGTATATTAACTTTTTGTATAGAAAATAAAAATCAAGTGAAATCTATACAAGATGATACAAAGAGTAAAATAAAGAAGTTTAAAAATGACATTTCAGATATTTTTGGTTTGACAGAAGAACATTCTATAGATCAATTTTTTAATGAGCTATTAGACAAAATAAGGCGTATTTATAATGAAAATAAGAATATAAAACAGGAAAATAAACATTTGAAAGAAAGTTCAGATATTAAAGATTTAAAAAAAGAGATAGAAGATAAAAAAAATGATATAAAACAATTACAATCACAAAATATTTCATTTTCTGAAGTAATTACAAAATTAGATACTACAAACATTAAATTAAAAAAAGAATGCATAATTTTGTCAAATGAATATAAAAAGTTGGTAGATTCACTTAAGTCAAAAAATACAATTATTGAAAAACAAAAGAGAATTTTAGAAGTTTTACAAAAACAAGTGGGCGGCAAAGAAAATATTGTTATTGATGACTTAAAAAGAAAAATTGAAAGGTTAAAACATAAAATTGAAAACGAGAAAAGTCAAGAAAAAATAAATAAGTTACAAATGGAATTAACAAAATATGATCAAAGAATTAAGGATCTTGAAGCTATTTACAAAACATAAATATTATAAAAATTTATTAAGCCTTAAAATTACTTTTAGTTCTTGCCCTTCATAAGAAAATACGTCAATCTGAGCATCACTATCGATAGGGCTAACAATCTGGCCTTCTGTACTAAAATTAATAGGATAAAATTTTTTGGTAATTTGCTTAATCTTTTCACTATCTACTTCCACATTAACTGTGTCATTCATTTTAAGCCCGCAGGATTTTCGTAATTTTTGAATAAAACTGTTAAATTCTCGTGCCAATTTTTTCTCTAATACGTTATCATCAATTGTATTATCTACTAAAATAACAAATTTATTTGAAGCAAAACATAATCCTGTTGGAAAAGTAGCCTTTTTTTCAATCAAAATATTTTCTCTTTTAACATTATATTTTTCTTCTGATAAATCTAAAAATGCAAGATCTCGTATTTCACTTTGTGTAAGTTTATTAATAATCTTAATTTTATCATTCATTGTTTTTAAATCTTTTTTCAAATATTCAAAACAAGGTTTAGCTTTATATTCAATTTTTAGTTCAGGAACCTCTGATTCTTTTACAAAAATTAAATTAAATACGTGACACTCTCGTATGATTGTGTTGGAAAATTTAGCAGCGTCTTTCATAAATAATTCATCGCTAATTATCTTTACTTCCTTAAGAGGTGTCTTAAGGCTTATTGTATGTTTATCTCTTAGATATCTAATAGCATCAATGATATCTTTAGCATTTTCAAAACTGTTATCCCCACTATCTTGTGCTTCAGGATACATTTGAAAATGAACAGAATTTATAGAACTACTCTTCTCATTTTGTTGTGAACTAAGTAGACACTGGAAAGAATATTCACTAAAAAATGGTGCAAAAGGAGACATAATTACACTAAATTTTTTTAAAATATTAAATAAAATTTTTGTATTGCCTGACCGTATTTCTTCTCGATGAATCCTTAAATACCAATTTGACAAATTATCAAGAAATTTGTAGGCCAATCCACATACTTTAGATAATTGATAATTATTCATATAATTTGATACAGAAGATAAAAATTCATTAAATGTATAATTAATCCAGTTATCTAATTCTAATTTCTCACAATCATTACGTTTTTGCAAAGAGGTTGTATAAAATTTTAAAACATTCATCCACGGGATGATAAGTAATTTACTGACATCTTTAACACCATCTTCTTTAAATAAAAGATTGTCTGCTTCTACTACAGGTGAAGAGATCAAATACATCCTTAAACTATCAGCACCGAATGTTTTCATGACAATATTTGGATCTGGATAATTTTTATCTTTTTTCGACATTTTTTTACCGTTTTCAGCAAGAACAATGCCATTAACAATAACATTTTTAAAAGCCGGTTTGTCAAATAATAGAGTAGAAATGACATGAAGAGTATAAAACCAACCTCTTGTTTGATCAATTCCTTCACCAATAAAATCAGCAGGAAAATTTTCTAATATCTTATTTTCATAAACTAATGTATTATCAGAATCATGAAAATGATGACGAATTTCTTCACAATTCAAATTATCAACCTTTCTAAATGGCCAACTATGCTGTGCATAAGGCATACATCCCGACTCAAACCAGCAATCAAATACCTCAGGAATTCTTCGTAGTGTTTTTCCATTTTTAGTCAAAATAATATCATCGATAAATTCCATATGCAAATCTGTAATTTTTTTCCCACTCAATTTTTCTAATTCTTCCGCCGATTCAACACATAAAATTTCACTATAATCGTCACTTATCCATAGTGGAATTGGTGTACCCCAAAACCTACTTCGAGAAAATGCCCAATCTTTAGCATTGGATAACCATTTACCAAATTTTTTATGTTTTATATCTTTAGGCACCCAATTTATAATTTCATTGTTTTTAATTAACTTATCAACACTATCAGAAACTTTAATAAACCAACTTGATACTAGTCTATAAATTAAAGGTTTTTCAGATCGCCAACAAAAAGGATAATTATGACTAATCTGCTTTACACAAAAAATCTTTTCTTTAAGATGTTTTATAATTAATTTATCTGCATCTTTTACATAAATTCCTTTGTAATCAAAAACCTCGGCTGTAAATTTGCCATTTTCATCTACAGGACAAGGAACTAAATCGTTTTGCTTAATCAAATTGTTTTCAACAAAACAATTATAATCATCCTCACCAAAAGCAGGGGCAGCATGCACTATACCTGTACCATCAGTAGAAGATACAAAAGATCCCCCAATAATTTTAAAAAATCCACACCTTCTGTATTCTTCAAAATAATTAAATGGCTGTTCATATTCCAATCCAATAAGTAATTCTCCTTTAAATAATTCATGTAATATAACTTCCTTTTTATTAAAATCTTGTATTCTGTTTGGTAACATGCAATAAAATTTATGATCAATTTCAAATATTTGATAATCAAAATCTTTGTTAACAACTAAACCACAATTCGAGGGTAGAGTCCAAGGAGTTGTAGTCCACGCCAAAATGGAAACCTTCTTATCGAATAATTTTGATTTAAGTGGAAATTCTACAACCGCCGATAAATCATTTACCATCTTGTAGTTAGATTTTGCTTCAGAACTACTTAAAGTAGTCATACATCCAGTAGAAAATGGCATAACTCTATACCCTCTGTAAACATATCCTTTTTTATACAATTGAGAAAAAACATACCAGACACTAGTCATAAAACTTAGATCCATTGTTTTGTAACTATTATCAAAATCAACCCATCTACCCATTTTTTCTACAGTATCCTTCCACTCACTAGAATGTTTCATAACAATTGACTTACATTCTGCATTATATTTGTCTATGCCCATTTCTAAAATTTCTTGTTTAACAGAAATTCCTAAATTTTTATCGATCTCAAATTCGACAGGTAACCCGTGACAGTCCCATCCAAATCTTCTATCAACCCTTTTGTTATGTTGATATTGGTACCTGGTAATAACATCCTTCACAGTTCCAGCAAGAATGTGACCAAAGTGTGGTAGCCCAGTTGCAAATGGTGGACCATCATAAAATGTATATTTCTTCTTGTTTTTACTCAATTCGTTGCTTTTTTTAAAACATTTTGTATCCTTCCAAAATTTAAGAATTTTAGTCTCAATATCATTTATGCTAAGATTTGAATCAAATTTCATTTTATGGGTAGAAAAAATAAAAATAAATTCTTTTTTCTTGCTTAATAAGCTATTTTGTTTGTAAATAGCTACGGTTTTACTTGTCTATAAACTAATTTGTTTGTTAATAGTAAGGTTTTAATGTAAAATAGTTTTTCTCATTTTACTTTAAATTAAATTCATGCAAAAATGATTTTTTTAAATAAATAAAATGAACAAATATAAACAAATAAATGAACTTAATAATATAAGTTTTATTGAAACAAAATATCTGCAATTTTATAGTTTATCTTTTTACAAAAAGTTGATAACTTTGTGGTATGCATGCACGTCAGTATCAGGCTATCTAATGTGAGGAAGTTAATACCAATAATAAAAGTAACCACTCCCTTAACACTGGTTAGGTTTAACAATGAAACATCGTATTTCATTGTAAAATATAAATTGGAAGTTTCTATCAGGGAATGCGAGACGAAGAGATTAATAAATTGTTTACGTCTGACAAACTTATTTCTTAAGAATTGTATTTATTTTAAATTTCTTAAATTTTAAGACAGAATTTTAAAATGTAAAAAACATAGCTTGATGAAAATTACTCAAAAATTTGATAGGTTCAATTTAAAATAAATTTTGTAATATAAAAATACTTTAAATATTTTATTAAAATGCATGGATGTTATTTTTTATTGAAAAATTACTAAAGTAATGTTATTAGTAAAACTTTTTAAAAACATAAATTTTAGTTTACAAACTAAATTTCATTGTTAATTAAATTCATAAGTTTTAAGATAAACGAAAATAATTATTTTTTAATTAATAATCATTCATTTTGTTTAGTTCTTCATAGATTTATTAATAATTAAGTTATGTTTTATCAACGCTTTAATAAACATTTTAATGGCATGTTATTTAAAAATAAAATGTTTAAAGGTCATAAAATAAACCAAAATATTAAGCAAAAGCCAAATTATTTAAAATTTTATTCAATATCACTTAAATCGAACATATCATTTTTTCTTTTAAATCTAATCTCAGATTTATAAGTTAATTCTTCTAATTTGTTTATAATATTTAAATATTCGCAGTAAGATATTCTCTTATGTTCAGTATTGTAATATTCTAGAATCATATCTTGTAATTTTAAAAATTTATCTTTGTTTAAATGCTTTAAATTTCCGAAGGAAGAATAACTTCGGTCGTCTAATATTTGTCGAAGAATTTCGTCGTTTTTATTTTCATTAGACATGGGTTAGCGTAAATGCATAAAAAATATAAATAGAAAAATTTCTACACAAACTATTTATTGAATTTGGCTTCTATTAAGTCAACCATTTTTGAAATCATTTCATTTTTTATAAGTTCTTCATAAAAAGTTTTTAATCCAGCAGGCACAAAATCACATTTATTACAAATCCAAACAAGAGCTATTATTTTTTGAATAAAAACCTTTTCATTAATAAATGTTCTAAGAATGTTTGTAGCATATACAGACACAAGATTTTTTTCATTTAAGTTATCAATAATATATAAAATAAAATTCGAATTATTTATATATTCTTTGATATTTATAGTATTACTCTGTAACATTCTTCTCACTCTAAAATATAAATTTTGATTTTCAATATAAGAAATATTATCTCTATATCTATTGAAAATATTTTTTAAATGTATAAATTTGTGTTTACAAATAAAACTTAAATAAATTCCATACATTTTTATAAAATTCTTGTTATCTTTTATGCTTAGAAATATTTTTGTACATGGATACAAAAAACTATCATTAATATTAATTACTTTAACAATCTCCTCAGCTATGTAAAAATCAAAAAAGCGTTTTACAATTTTATGCTGAACTATTTCTATATATCCTGTTGTAAAAAATGGGACATTTGATGGTTTTAGTAAATTTATTAGATCGTAGATCAATTTAAGATTTTCGGGAGTTTCTTCAATAACATCAAGTAATTTAGTAAGAAATCGTGTGTAAAACTTTGTAAATAAATAGTTTCTTCTACTATATGCGTCTATAAAAACTTCTAATGTGTCTTTTATATACAAATTAAGATGATTTTTTATTAAATTAGGAATCACATCAATTTTTTGATAACAATACAACGTTGGAATCTTATGATATCTTACAAAGTGTTCCCATGAAGATTTAAATGCTGCTTTAATATTTAAGTTACTTGGTAAAGTTCTAACCTTTTTAAAATCCTGAAAAATAATATATTTTTCTGATTTTACAAATTCATCAAAATCTGAAGCATTTAAGTTGTCAAAAAACATCATAAAATTACTTATTTTTTGAAAAAAATCATAAATCTTACTATTGTCACTGTAATTGGAAAGAGCTTCTAAAAGAGCTATAAAATCATACACAGTGCAAATTTGAATATCTCCTGTAATTAAATTAGTCACAAGTTCTAAAATCGGATCTAAATTCTCTTCAATCCTAATATTCCTTGCCAATGCCTGATCATATTCTATTAAATTAATCAAATTAAATTCAATAAATTTGCTTACAAAGTGAAAACTAAACCTTCTAGGATCAGTTGAATAAATAAGCCAACTTAGTACCTCCTTTTGTGTTCTATACGATATTTTAAAAATATCTTTAAGACAATGATATAAAAAATCTGAATTGGTTTGTGTCGTCCTTTTAATTAAATGTCCAATAATATATTTACATAGTTTTGTACATTCAATGTCTTTATCATCTGATTTTAAAATATAATCTATTATCTTTCGATACCCATGTTCAGGATTATTGCTTAACAGAATGTGCCATTCTTCAGATATTACGTCGAAATTTTTAATATTTTTTCTTCTGTTTATTTGTAAGAAATGTGCTTTTAGTTCTTGATACTCACTAGCCTCAATCGGTTTAATAAATATTTTTTCGATGTGTGTAGTATTCTCTAAAATTTTTAAATTTATAAATGAACTATTACCTATGCTTACCTCCGTATTTTTAAAATATTCACCAATACAATCTGCTATTCTTGAAATACCAGCTCTCTGAATCAAATTGCAACAAATTTCATGATTATTTTCCACAATAATGTGAATTTTATCGGGCGATATTTCTATGCCTACTAGCTTTAAAAAATAAGTGATATTACCAGACATACATGCACGCATAGGTTCTTGAGATGAAATAAAACATAAAGATTTGGTCAAATTTATCATAAAATTTCTAAAAAATGTATATTCACACCCCTTTTCAACTCTAACTGTTTTAAATAACGACATTCCAGTTTTAAGAGCAATTTCACAAGCCTTTTCAATAATTGTTTCCGTTATTTCACGAATGCTAAAATCAAGTGCTAGAGAAACAACATGTTTAAATAATTTTTCTTCTTCATTAATATTACTACTAATAGAAGTATCATTTACAATATCAAACAATCCAAATCCATCTTGAAGTTTATATTCTAGTAAATATTCACGTGTTTTAAATTTAAAAGTTCTGATGGGCCTTGAGACAATTTTGAGATTGAAAAAGTTGAACAAATCTTCAATTTCGCATCGAATGATTTTTAGTGTACAACGCTGTAAATCACCCAATAAATTAAGAATTGACATTAACCACGGATTTTTTGGAATAAAAATTTTACCTTGTTTTCCTTGCTTAAGAAAGCTGCATATAAATGATACACCAAACAACATTCTTCTGCTTTCAATCGAATTGATAAGAAATTTTTTAAAATCAAACCTATCCAAAAAAATCATCCTGTTTTGTGCCAATGTCATTTGTCCAAGAATATAGCCCAATTTTTTTACAAAGTCAATTTCATTTTCTACGGTAAATCCCAGTAAACTCTCTAAAATTTGAAGACAAGAATGAATAAATTCAGTTAAAATTGATTTATCAACAGTTTTGTAAATTTTATATATCAAAGGTGTATCCTCTTCATATAAATTTGTAATAAGCAATACTACAAATTCATCCTTTCTTAAACCCTTATAATTTTTATCTGCAGCTATTTTTAATTCATCCAATTTTTTTTCCAATTCGTTATTAAATTTATAATTTGTGCACAACAGCAAAAGATCGCCAAATTTTAAAAATGAATAAAAATCTTGATCTACTAAAATTAAATCTTTTTTTACTAAATTGCTTCTAACAATTTCTATATCCTCTACATCACTAAGAAATTTAGGAATTTTCTTAATAAAAACCTCCAAACATTTAAAAGCGAAATGGAATTCACGATCTGTTTCTGGAAAACTTAAAGATTCTTTAATATAACTCAAAGCTATTTTTAAGAAAGGTCGTGGAATAACATCGCTTTTAATAAGTTCTCCATAAAATTCTGCTAAAAGATCTGAATTTGGTAATTTATAAAGAGCTGAATAATTTTCAATAAGTGTTCCAAAAATTTTAAATGTCAATTCTTTTGATGTTAAATCTCCTTTTTGCATATTTTGAATATTTTTAATACCATCCGATATTGAAAGCTGAGAATTTATAATTGAACTAATAAAAGCAGAAGCTTGCTCATCTACATTACTTTCTACACCTTTATTAAATTTAATTGCTTGTGGAATAAGCCTTTTTAATTGACTAAATAGAGTTAATGTTTCAAAACAAAGCTGTTTTTGATTTTGCTCAATTAATTTAGTTATATTGATTATCATATCAATTGTCAACGGAAATAATTTATCTGTCATAATATTCTGTGACTTATTATCAGAATCACAATTAACTTTAACATCTAAAACATTATGAATCTTTAAATCTACATACGATATTAAAAGTTTAACAAATGTATCTTTTCTTGCAGTTATGTTATTAGTTAACCATATTCCCAAATTTAAATGATCTCTAAGAGAGCTTAATATAATGATATCAAAACATATATTAGGAGGGTCTAAATCTTCACTGACCATTGGCAACATTTTTTGTTCCAATATAACATCAAGTGTTTTTGAAAGAGATATTCCATTTGAAATATATTTCGGTAATTTTTTCAATATTACTTTTGGAATATTCCTAAATAATATGTAAAATATAAAGTTGCTTGATGATCCTCTAAAAAAAGTAACAACTAAATCATCAAAGAACTTCTCAAATGTAGGATAAACGTAAGATAATCCAGCTAAACACCATTCAGGAGCCTTTTTTGCAATCTGCTCTATAAGAATATTAGAATCTAGATTTTTAATACATTCAAATAATTCTACACAATTAAAATTACTTTCATAATTTAGTGTACTCTTAAATCTAGAATTTCTTATTTCCTCTAACTTTACTATTTTAGAAAAGAAAACGTTTGAATATAATTGTGTTTTTTTCTCATCACTTTCAATAAGTAACCTAATAAAATATATTTGTGATCTCACATTTTTCCATCTTTTAAAAAATATTTCATAAGGTACAGTTATTATTCCAGATATACAAACCCAACAATCAATAATTACATATAAGCTTTCTAAAGACCATATGTTAAAATCCTCTTCAAGAAAATAGGAATATACATCCCTCCAATTAACTTCTTCAAGATTGGTTTTCATAACTTCCATAATGACTCTAATATTCCAGTTTCTTTCGGGAAAATCTGCCATAAAAAGTATCATTTTAGCAATTTCTTGTTGACCAATTTTTCTCTTCATTTTAATTTTGGTTATAATAAGTGACATAAACTCCCTGCTTATTAATTCGGGTTCTCTTTTTTCTAAAATTTCCTTCAATTCCAAATCTGTTAAACTTTCTTCAATTTCTTGAATTTCTTGTTTTTTCAAATCTTTGTCCATGCCTCACAAGAAAAAAATATTTTTAAAACTTAATTTTAAATGTAAAATATCAAAATTTGTTTGTGTAACTAAATAAAAAATAGAAAATATACACAAAATTTAAACGAAAAAGATGATTAAGATACTAAATTATAAACCAAGGTAAATATGAATTTTATAGGTTTTGATTAAAAAAGCAGAATTTCTTTTAAAAAACAACACTTTATATTGTAGAGTTTTGATAAAAGTTGTAAAATCTAAATCAGTAAGAAAAGGTAACAAAAATCAAAATCATTTCTATAAAGTTTATTAAATGTAAAATATTTTAAAAATTACAAATAAGATAACTAAGTTTAAAAAGGATAATTAAAAAATATCATTCATTGCTTGAAAACAATAATAATATTTTTTGAAATGTCCATGTCACTTTTTGAAATATTTACCTCCACCACTATTGTAATAAAAATTCGTTAAAAGAATTCTTAAATATCTGTAGGCCTTTGTTGTATTTTCTTAAAAACCTTGACTGAACATAAGCATAAATTCAGAATGCTTTATTTATCTGCGCAATAACGTACATTTGACCACATAAATCTTCAAAAAAATATGAATGGAAATTCAGATGTAAATTTAATTATTCTTATTAACATCTGATTATCAAATTTAAACCTTGTTTTTTAAAAACTTTAAAGTTTCTCTTAATAATTTAAAAGTTTATTATGATACGAATTATTTTGTTTTTACTAAATGATTTGAAATTAAAAAATTTTTGTGCTTTTAGCAAATACTTTTCTTGCGAAATAATTCAATATTTAAAAATATCGTCAATTTTAAAAAATTCAAACACCGATATTATGAGAAAATGCATCAGGATCTAAAAGATAAGAATTAATTAATTAAATTGTTTATATGAACCCATAATAATAGAGTATTTTAATTTTTTTAATGGGATTAATTTGAATTAAATAAAAGAATTCAAATGTATAAGTAAAAAAGACATCTATAGAACAAAAGTCAATTCGTGATAATCATTGCAATAGTACTTATCTTAAGTCTTTTTTCCTCAATATGCCACTATTTTTTTAATCATCTTAATCAAAGTGTCAAAATTATTCCGGTTTTTGAATTCAAATTATCAGCAAAGGTATACAATCTGACAGATA